AGTGTAAAAATTCAGGTCATTAAAATCTTCAAAGCAAATTATGTACTTTAAACTCTACCCCTTGTCAATGCAGATATTCAATTTACAGTCGTAATTTTCTGGAATACAATTTATAACTACACTGCTGGTTTTTGCTGAACAGTTATTGTTCCGCCTATCAGTCGATTATCCCCGTCTCGAGTGGTTAGGCTTTATGACTTTTAAATCTTCGTACACGCTGTTGGCTTTTCCGGCTGGTAAACTCTGTCTGATGTTCTTTTCTTATGATTCTTATAGATGAATATCGTAAAATGATGTGGCTTGACCAAATCAATGAATAGAGACTAAACCCACGGCTATTCTATGATATGTTCAAACATAATGAAATTTTGATTGTGTATCAAAGTAAAGAACACCTATCAACGACAGACATTTGAGTCATTTTGAAATACTAATAAAAGTTCATGAAGCATTAAGTTTTTGAATTTGTACTTGCACGAACAATAAATAAATTAAACTAGATTTTATTATATCAACATAAAATTCAAAAATGATTGTTAAAGGTGTATGTTTGGAGCACGGCGCTGTTCAGGTGCAAAACATGGACGGTGGGCGCGGCGGAAAAAAAAGATTAGACGCGTTCGAAATGTGGTGTTACAGGCGAATGATGAGGATAAAGTGGGTAGAAAAGGTTAGAAATGAAAAGGTATTAGAAAGAATAGGAGACCAGAGGACTGAATGGAAGACAATAATAAATAGAAGTTAGGAGGGGTAGAGGTAGACCTAGATTAGATTATTGTTCGCAAATAGTTAACGATATGGGTTGTTGTAGTTTTAGGGAAATGCGAAGATTAGCTCAGGATTGGAAAGAGTGGAGGTACATGTCCAACCAGTCTTAGGACTGATGGCCTTATAATGATGATGATGAGATTTCTATTGACACCTCACGTAGGCAAATGTTGAACATTAAATTATATGGTCAGTGCACTACATAGACAAACTAATGTATTTTTTGTTAAAATTTCTACACAATAGGCACTGAGCGGAGTCTTGGTCTTAGTGAACACTGCGGGTTTTCTTGAATCGTTTAGGCAGTAATATTCCACACTGAGTCTCATTTCATTTCTGTCTTCATTTCGGAATTCTGACCTTCTATTTACGAACCAAACAATAATTCCCAAGATTTCTAAACAGAGGGTATTCCGCCCAACTTTCCGGCTTAGAACTAGAATATTGTTGGAGGGATTTTCCCGTTCAACAATATTAATAGCTGGTAGGAATGAAACTTCCAAAAAGTTTTTATGTTAAAAAAAAGAACCTTTCAATTTTTCTATTTATCATACATACAGCATAGAACAAGGAGGAGATAGAGATCGCATTAAATAATTTGGATGCGGTACTCACAAAGCAGTACTGTATGAAAATAAATAAAAGTAAAACAAAAATATTGGTATTCAAGGAACGAAAAAAAAAAATGGAAAGAGAGAATATAAAGATAAGAGACAAAAATTAGAAGTGACCGATTTTAGGTATCTAGGAAATCAGATAAGTCAGGGCGGAATGAGTAGTAGAGATATAAAGCAGAGGATAATGCAGTGTCGAATCGGTCTAAATAAAAAGAAATCACTTTTATGCTCGCAAACGGTTAATTTAGAAATTCGATAAATGTTATTAAAGATATAAGTTTAGAGTTTGGCGCTGTACGGGTGCAAAACAAGGTCAGTGGATGCGGCAAAAAGGAAAAGGTTAAAAGCGTTCCAAATGTGGTGTTACAGGCGAATGATCAGGATAGAGAAGGTTAGAAATGAAGAGGTATTAAAAGGAGTAAGAGATCAGAGGATTCTGTGGAAGTCAATAATAAATAGGCGAGATAGGTTAGTAGGACACCTTCTCAGGCATGAAGGTCTAGTCAGAGACAGATTAGAAGCAGAAACAGAAGTTGAAAGGAATAGTGGTAGACCTAGATTAGATTACTGTTCCCAAATAGTTAAGAATGTGGGTTGTTTTAGTTTCGGGGAAATACGAAAATTCGCTCAGGATAGGATGGAGGTGCATGTCCAACCAGTCTTAAGACTGACGACCTTATGATGATGATCATACATATCTCCTCATCAGTGATGGTGGTATTCAATTAGCCTGCAACTATTTTATTATATAATACTCCACTGAACAGCAAATATAGCTTCTAAATCCACTAGTAAATTTTAGAATAACTTTTGTGGGGTTAATTTCAATACATTAAATTGAATTAATTATTAAGTTAATTTTTCCCTCTGCAGATAACCTCAAATTAATGAGGAAAAATTGTTGCTGCTTTAACGCCCTCGCCAGAAATCCAACTCAACTACCTGGTTTTCCGCACCAGTACACTACCACTAAGCTAGGAAGGATGATAGCAGCAGCAATAACGACGATACGTACATGTTTTCTGTTGAAATATGTATTTCAAAATATTGCGTTCGGGCAACTGTGACCTTAAAAGTTCAGCTCCAAAAGCTTATAAAGAAGGGCCGTAAAAACTTTTAGAACTACTGAAGTACATCACGATCCAATTCTTAAGTGTTTTACTGCAATCTAAGTGAGCAGAAGGACGATGTTTGTTACGTAACTCGCTTATAAAAGTGTTAAATAAGGTCAGTCAAGTTTTAAAAATTACTTCCGTGTGAAGTTTACTGTAGTCAATTTAATTTAATTTTGTAATAACTCCAAAGCAATTTCCGATAGATGTTTATTATATTTATTGTAAATATTTCAATGCCTAATGAATAAACTTCATTCCAACCAAAACCATTTAGGTTGGCCGGGTCTTCTATAATTTAACAATTTATACTGATCGAATGTTCGGAGGGCTGCAGACGAATTCCCTATAAATATAATTAGAAATAGAAAAATTAAACGTGTGCTCGGACACATAGTAGAACTGAAACTTCAAAGGACGAGCAGAAAAACGAAACGCAATAAATTTTTTACTTCAAGTTTTACGGACAGATTGTTAATGTACTTGATCTGCCTGTAAAACTTCCATAATTTTTTTTTCTGTACATCGAGTGGTGAGAGGCAGCAGCGCCGGAAGAAGAGAAACGCTGGCAGAGACGGAGAGATGGCAGCGGCTGTGTTAGATGGATATAATGTGCAGCGCAGAGATCGGGGGGTCCGCTGGAGTCCCGGCGGCGTGTGCTGTGCTCAGCTGTTGTTTTCTTACCTTTGCTCTCCACGTGGCTGGGCATCATTGCCTCTATTTACGGTCTGTGTAAAAACCAAATCATAATTTGCAGTAAACCAGTGAGAACAAAATGTGTACTGGCACATATAGTAGAAGTAAAACTTCAACGGACAAGGGGAAACAGATTGTTAATGGACTTGTTCAATTTGAAAACCAGGCAAAATTTTTACTTCAAGTTTTAAAAAAGCAGCATATGTGCAATTCGACGACATTATCTCAACATGTTTTATCATTATTCTCTCTGTTGCTATTCATTATCATTCCTTTCTCTCTGTTGCTATTTATAAGTAATATCTATTTTAAAAGTAAATGAACCGGAATTTTATCTTAAAACTCATATTTTGGTTGAATTTTATCCTTAGTAAACACATGACCTGGACAGCGTGACTACGTCGCGTTGATATAGTTGAAGCGATCAAAATTAGCAATGTCCGAAATAAATTGTCTGTGAGAGTGGACGTGTTTTCTTTCTTATTTTCAATTGGGAGTTCAGTTATTTGCTGCGTTTTTGATTACGCCCTTGTTAAGTTAGGGTATGCTTCATCAGTAGTATCGATAAAGTGAAAGGAGATAACCGATTGATAGTGGTGCAGCGGTTAGAAGTTGCCTAGGTACGCAAAATATCAGAGTCGGTGTTTCGTGGCTCCGTTGGTGGAGAATAATTTCCTAGCACTGTGTATGCGTTTAGAACTTTATTTCATATTTAACCAGTAACAAAATGTGTAGTGCTACATGTGTGCCCTAGGAAGTTGGACATGGTACTGCCTGCCCTTACGCGACCATAGAAACAGGTAAACGGTTGCTTGGCGGACAGGTAAAAAATATATATAGAAAACATAGATACAGTGGCTAAATGCATTAAACAGTCGGCTTTATAAATGCCTGGTTTGAATTATATCTTTAAACAAGCGTCTTTGATTTTCTAAATGCATGTCAATTCGTGTAATGTTATTTTTTTTTATTTATTAGAGTCCATTACAATTCCTACCTCATATTTTCTTTTTATTTTTACTCTATTCCCTGCGACTGTCGTCAGCAAAAGTAGGCGTTCCACCACCAACCGCTCTAGTCCATTTAGTAAGTTGAAAGAAGAAATAAAATAATTCGAAGTGGTCTGTGTTCTGTCGAAACTGCCAGACGCGGATCGCGACTTCGATCTTGTTGGATCCCATCAGCGCGTCGCAGCAAGTAGATATCCATATATTTAAATGGACCTTGTTGAGAATACGTAATCCTAACATGTAGCATTGTACTACAGATGGCGTTTACCGCGCCATTTGTGGTATTTTCTAAAACGTGCCGTTAAGCAAGTGAAAGTTGGTCTGTTCTGTCGACACTGTCTGCGACGCGCTTATGAGATCCAGCAAGACCGAAATCGCGATCCGCGTCTTGCAATTTCGACAGAACACAGACCACTTCGAATTATTTTATTCGATTATGGTAACGTGCCTATCACGTTGAGGTGAGCTACGCAGGGATTCGTTTCAGCAAGTAGATATCCATATTTTTGAATGGACCTTATTGGAGCATACGTAATCCTAAAATGTAGCATCGTACTACAGATGGCGTTTACCGCGTCATTTTTGGTATTTTATTGAAAGAAGAAAGTAAATGCGACAGCTTTATTGCAGACTACTCCAATTTTAAAACTCGCAAATATAACCAGCATTTGTGTTTACCGTTCTACCGCGCGGACGCGCCCCAAAGATGCTACCAAAATTTTTGTACCTATAAGTAACACCATTATCGATACAATATGATGCAAAATGGATTTAAATGCACCCAAATAAATATAAGCTGCAATACTACTCGTTTTTTATTGATTATAGTGGTTTACACATCTAAAAGTACGTTATCAAATCCAAGCAGTCAAAGTCCTGTCACTGACGCGATGTAGGAGCGTAAACTTGAAACGTTGACGTAGGTACCCGGAAATCCGGCTTCAGCACAACCTACACCGGAAGAAACCAATCCGTACAGAATACCATCCACTGTCAGTGGTCCTCCAGAGTCACCCTAAAATGAAACACGTTTCTGACTTGTTACATGAAATTTATGCAAAACAGTTAGCTCCTGTGAAATCATAAGAACAATTTCCTCTAACCCTATAAAATATTCAACTCTACTGTAAATTACTTTAGCAGTGTTACATTTTAAAGTAGGGCTGGGGTAATTGAGCAATTTTTTACTTGAATGGTCATATTTCCTAAACGATAAATCCGAATTACTTCCTATGTGTACTGGTGGGTAAACAATTTATTCATTTCTATATTTATTTCTAATACGTCACATTTATGAGCTACAACAGTTTAGGTGAACAATGTTGGACATACTTAAAGTACCACATTTGTAGGTTAGGTATCATGGGTATGGGGCAAACTGAGCTGTTAAAATTCTAGCCAAATCATACTAGACAATGTCTAGTAGACATGAAACAAAATTACTATTTCATAATCAACTTTCTATTTATAATCTTTAAATGACAAAAATATTAAACATAAAAAAAATGAACAAAAATTAAGATATCTTAAGCTCAACTTTGACATTATGCGATTATCAAATGCTCTTGAAGTTTTCCTTTTAATTGTCTTTATCATAAAGTTAAATAAAAAACATATACTATTTTCGTTTTAAATACTGGAGTTAGCTGAGCAAAAGCAAAAGTTGCTTAACTCACCTCAACCTGAATAGTTGAAACAAAAGTGAGGTTATGAAAAAACGGTTTTAATTAAAACCAAAACCTTTCTAGATATCAAAATATACTAAATTCATGAAGGTTAAACACTTACCTGATTTAAAATGGATAATATTCGATTTGTACAGAAGAAATAATTGCATACACAATTTCACAAAATGAGTTCCCGTCCCGCGGCAGCTTCTATACGCCATTTAAAATCTTAGCGCGCGGCGTATAGTTTCTGAGATACTTGAATTGCCCAAACCTACTCCTATGCTCAGCCAGCCCCGCTCAAGCTAATCTTTTAAATTTTATTAAACGTTGCCATCAACATCATTAAAGACAGTACAAGTGTAGGGATAGACGTGCAAGGGCAAAAGATTAGTATGCTTAGATTTGCAGATGATATAGCAGTATTAGCATCTAGCAAGGAGGACCTAGAGATAGCTTTAAATAAAATGGAAGCGGTACTGACAGATCAGTACTGTATGAAAATAAATAAAAGTAAAACTAAAATACTGATATGCAAGGGAAGAAAAAGTAGGGAAAGAGCGAATATAAAGATAGGAGACGAAAAATTAGAAGAAGTGGCTGATTTTAGATACCTAGGAAGTCAGATAAGTGAGGATGGAAGGAGTAGTAGGGATATAAAGCAGAGGATAGCGCAGGGTCGTGTCGCCTTTAATAAAAAGAAGTCACTTCTATGCTCGCGAACGGTTAATTTAGAAATTCGAAAAAGGTTGTTAAAGGTGTATGTTTGGAGCACGGCGTTGTACGGGTGCGAAACATGGACAGTGGGCGCGGCGGAAAAGAAAAGGTTAGAAGCGTTCGAAATGTGGTGTTATAGGCGGATGATGAGGATATCGTGGGTAGAAAAGGTTAGAAATGAAGAGGCATTAGAAATAATAGGAGAACAGAGGACTCTATGGAAGTCAATAAAAAAATAGGCGAGATAGGTTGGTAAGACACCTTCCCAGGCATGAAGGTCTAGTCAGAGACATATTAGAGGCAGAAACAGGAGTTAGGTGGAGTAGAGATAGACCTACATTAGATTACTGTTCGCAAATAGTTAAGGATGTGGGTTGTTCTAGTTTTAGGGAAATGCGAAGTTTAGCTCAGGATAGGAAAGAGTGGAGGTACGTGTCCAATCAGTCTAAAGACTGATGACCTTATTTAAATGAAATTAATTACAAAACTAATAATAATAATAATAATTCAACGATTATTTCATGTCAATTTTCCTACTTACATTACAACCTCCTTTTCCCCCTTCTTCATAACCAGCACATAAAACTCTATCAGTAACGTAGACTCCGGTATCGTTACTGTAATCAAGAGCGCATTCTTCATTACTAACAATTGGCACAGTTACTTCGTGTAGTTCTGGTGGATTATCACCTTGATAGACCAAACGACCCCAACCGGAAACGGTAGCCAATGTTCCCGCAGGTAAAACAACGTTGGATGGTGGTAAAGCAACTGCAGCAATTTTTTCTCCAAAAGCAAGATGTTTATTCAGAAGGAGAATGCTTATATCGTAGTCTAGCGTTGTAATGTTATACAAGGGATGAATGTATATCTCTGCTAGAGTAACTGGTTCATTTGCTGTTTGATTATACTCGGTAGCACCGACCCTTAATGTAACGTTGCTTGTACTTTGCCTGTATAAACGACGATGTAATTAAAATCTAAACTTTCACAATTTCAATTTCTCGGAAAGTTTTTCAGATTTACCCTGAAGAAAGATAGACGCCGAGAAATCGAAGAATGAAACGTCTATACAAGGATTCCAATATTGTTGTTCACCAATCTAGGTTTAAATATAAGTAACAGATGTCTAATAAAATAATTCGAAGTGGTCTGTATTCTGTCAAAACTGCCAGACGCGGATCGCGATTTCGANAGTATTAGCATCTAGCAAGGAGGACCTAGAGATAGCTTTAAATAAAATGGAAGCGGTACTGACAGATCAGTACTGTATGAAAATAAATAAAAGTAAAACTAAAATACTGATATGCAAGGGAAGAAAAAGTACGGAAAGAGCGAATATAAAGATAGGAGACGAAAAATTAGAAGACGTTTCGAACAATTACCTTAACTTCCCATGCGTCAAAAATCTTAACTAGAATCGTACAGATGATGGAAAAAAGGCCGGAAGAACTATTAGGGGAAGATCAGTTCGGGTTTAGAAGAAATAGAGGAACGCGGGAGGCCATTCTAGCATTAAGGGTAGCAATAGAGAAAACGATAGAAATAGGAAAGAGTGCGTACATAGGATTTGTAGATTTAGAGAAAGCTTTTGACAATGTTAAATGGGACAAGATGTTCAATATAATTAAAAATGTAGGGATGAATTACAAAGATAGAAGACTGATACTTATTTTGTATAAAGAGCAACAGGCGGTTATAGAGCTGGGGATGCAACGTAGAGAAGTAAATATTAGGAAGGGAGTCAGGCAGGGATACACACTGTCACCGCTACTTTTTAATCTATACATTGAAGACGCCATCAACATCATTAAAGACAGTACAACTGTAGGGATAGATGTGCAAGGGCAAAAGATTAGTATGCTTAGATTTGCAGATGATATAGCAGTATTAGCATCTAGCAAGGAGTATTTAGAGATAGCTTTAAATAAAATGGAAGCGATACTGACAGATCAGTAGTGTATGAAAATAAATAAAAGTAAAACTAAAATACTGATATGCAAGGGAAGAAAAAGTAGGGAAAGAGCGAATATAAAGATAGGAGACGAAAAATTAGAAGAAGTGGCTGATTTTAGATACCTAGGAAGTCAGATAAGTGAGG